CTCCGGATACCAGCCTGCAGACTCACACTGCAGCACCACTCCTCCGCTCTGACCGTCCAGCCCTGATAACGTTACGACTGGTGGGAGAGCAGCAGCTGAAGCTGGGCAAAAGGAAGAAGAGGAAGTATTTGATATCTGATAGCAGGTGAGGAGATGGCCCAGAAACAGATGTTATTGTTACAATTCTTCAGCAATTTACAGCCTAATTGATATCCAAATCCTCACGTAAAAGTCCAATGGGCTCGTCACTGTGAGTTGGACCGAGTAACCCCTCTACTAAAACATGCCAGTTTACTATCCTGGCTCCAAAATGGTGGAACAAGCTCCCCATTAATTACAGGACAGCAGAAAGTCTACACTTTATCTGTTGCACACTGAAAACTCACCGGGTCCCACTGCACCTTTTTTCCAAGTAATTACCCTGCGTCCTAAAAATCTGAGTAATATGTAACTTTTGGTTTTCCATACAACTGGAATACGATACGTTTGTCTACGAACTCTAGAAAATATAGTGTACATATTTTCATAATGTCAGAGTCTCTCGAAACACAAAGACAAAATGATAATCCTTTCCTGGGGGTGAAAGTAGGGAAACCGCAAACACATACATACAATAGGCACTTACCAAAAACTAGTTTAACAAAAGCTTGACAGCCCAGTTCTGGAATAAAACATCTGTATTTCCCCTGATCGGAGAGTTGTACGTTGGAGAGTTTCAGTGAAATGTTCCCGTTCTTCAGCTCATCGGTGAACATTGATGTTCTTCCCTCGAAGATTGTGTTTTTCATCCCCTTTAGTTCTTGACCAGAACGCATCACATGGACGAATCTGGGCTCCTTGTCGGGCCTCGTCCACTCCAACGTCAAATCGGCAGCATTTACCACCGGCTCCAGATAACACGGCAACATGATGTCATCACCAAGGTTTGCTACGATTAGCTGAGATGAGCCAATCAGCTGAGACTGGCCTGGGAATAATAACATGTATACATTATGTTTTTGGAATAAACAGAGCAATATTGGAACAATGGATAGTAAAAAGTGGAGACAAACAACAACAATATAAGATCTAGTCACCCCATAGTTTTGACTTCTGCACTTCTTGGCTCCATTTTCAGCCATTAAACAGCCTAGTCATGATCGTAGACTTTGCCCAATTGAAGGGCATTTCATAGAGAGAATTCCCATTGGCTGGTCTACCACAGCACATTCAGCATTGCAAGAACAGCTTACAAAGCAACCGGAAAAACGAAGACACACCAAGAATGTATAAAGATAACCTTTTCTCAGTTGCACATGAAGTCAAAATGGCCTGACTTTCCAGTACAACATAACCCCAATCTTCATCCATCCCGCCCATCCATGAGCATTTTCCTTATACCCTAACCCCACCCTAGGTTTAAAGTAATTCTGGATTCAGCTTTATTTTACAGTTTTTAGGACCCATAAGGGATGTTCAACTGTTTGTACAAGGAAGTTGATTTCCCTCGCCCCAAATAATTACAGATCTCTCTTTCCCAATGCAAGTCAATGGAAATTAAGTGACTGAAACAGAAGTTGTAGTACCACCATTTGGCCACTACAGAAGTGTGCTTATTCTTGCCATTTTTCCTAGGGAAGAGTCAACATTATCAAAAAGAGACTCAAATAATATCCGTGAATTTGTTTCAAACAAATGTTGCAAAAAGTTACATTTGTGTGAACAACTTCGTCTAGCATAAGCTTACCCTAGCTTCATGGCTACAGCTTAGCAGCATTTTTGTCTGAAACACTTTGCTGATATTGAACCTAGCTTTTGAATAACAGTATGTAATCTCAAAAGGGTTTACAGTCCTACAAGTTTGCAAATAAAACAATCACGATATTGTATTGTGTGTTAGTTACCTCTACAGTAGTGTGTTAGGAGAAGATGGAAAACCAAAACACTGAGAGTTCTCAAATGAGTTTTAAGGGGCTTTCCGTCTGTGTGGAGAAGCATCATGGAGAACTGAAAGTGAACTGAAAACAGAAATAATAAGACCTGAGTTAGAAACTGTACATTTGTTTTACTAATTATTCTGCTACTAGCAAATAAAGCTAAACTTAACTGACTTACAGTTGAAACATTAACAAAGCTTTTATTATCTGTTCTAATAAAAAGTGGTGGTTATAAGAGAAGACAGCTCCAATTCAGACTCACTTTTTTCTAAACATTTATAATCTGTTTTAGATTAAATGTTAGACGAAGACCGCTTACCTGTTGAATGTTGCGAGTCTCTGTCTCTTCACCTGCCTGCGAGGACAGAGTCTGTAGATCATTAACAGGTTCTGGAAGTTTATAATGCAGATATAGTAAAGGCTCTTTAAATTCTTCCACTGAACTTCTAAGTAGTTATTTCATGTTTTGCATTATATTTGTTCATTGTGCAAATGTTTCTGAAAAAGCAAGAGACATTTCTTACTAAAGTTTCACAACAAAACAAGTTTAGTGTAATTTTATCCACTGAATTTTTATCTGAGTTTCACTTTGAGCGTCTCGGTTTATGAACATCTGAACTTTGGATTCAGTGTCTTGGTTACAGGTTATAAATTAATACATGCTAATAAAAACAGTTTCAAAGGACCTTTTATGTGGTTTTATTGTGGCAACTGTTCAGGGGCAATTCTCTATTAACGCAGAGGACATGTCTGATCTTTGCCTGCAGGGGGCGGGACTACTCAGTTTTTATAACATCTGTCAGACTTTCTTCTACTGTGTGTGTGTGTGTGTGTGTGTGTGTGTGTGTGTGTGTGTGTGTGTGTGTGTGTGTGTGTGTGTGTGTGTGTGTGTGTGTGTGTGTGTGTGTGTGTGTGTGTGTGTGTGTGTGTGTGTGTGTGTGTGTGTGTGCGTGTGTGTGTGTGTGGGTGTGTGTGATTGGAAGAGGTACTGGAAGTTAGATACATTGAAGTAAAAACAGATAAAAGATAAAGATGGCAGGATTTTGTATATCTCTTAAGGACTAGCAGCCTCGCTCGACGGTGTTCATGGAGCTGTTTCTTCTCCAGTGTTTCTACAGATCATTCGTAGAATTTAACACGGATTAAACCTGACCATCTCCATCAGATAATAAACTCTGACCTGAGGCTGTGCAGCTACTCTAATGTGTTAAAAAGTGCCGGCCCTAACCTATTTGCCACCCTTGGCAATATTTTAGCTCGCGCCGTCACTTAATTGGGGTGGACCTCATCTCCTCTAGGGGGGACCGGGGGCATGACCCCGGGAAGAAATGTTTAAACATTCTAAAGTGAAATGCTTCAATCTGGTGCACATTCAGGGCAAAATTAAGACACTAAATCTTTGGGGTCTCAAAACCCATATGAAAAGTGTGCAGGTCCCCTACCACCTGTCTCAGGGGGGCGCCACAGTGTATGGGCTCTGTATGTAATCTACTGTAGGCCTAGTTCTGTTGTTGTTATCTAACATTTATTGTTAATAGTATTAGAAAAACAATTGTAAAAAAATAGTAAAAGTTAATCATTTTGAATTAGATTTGTTTCTGCCCCCCCTATTTGCGGCGCCCCCCATGGATGGATGAGCATTCACCTAAACTTCCTATGATACGATACGATATACTGGGCCGGCCATGTGTTTATATCTTCCGCAGTGTGCATGGCCCTTCTGCCTGTAACGCAGAAAACCACCAGCAGGAGGTTCAGTTTGTGTGTTTGGGTTAAGGATGGTACCCACTTGAATGAATCTTCTTGTTTTGAGTTTGTTTCCTCATGATGTATTGGAGTTGATCACGTTATTAAGGCTATAGTTTTAGGCCTGTTTCAACATGACCATACCTCTTCATGCACAAAGACAGCACATATGTTCCACTGCCCATAACGCTCAACTATGGTTTTTATTTCATGATGTTCTCAGCCTCGTGTTAACTGGTAACGGTTTCATCTAGAGCTCTGAGCTGAAACCACAGAGAGTCTGACCCCAGCCTCAGAAACACTCTGCACAGGAAGAGGAAGTTCTCACTCACATTATATTTCTGTGTCTCACAGTGAGACGCTCAGACAGCAGGAAGACATCATGGAGGTCACAGCGCTCTGCAGCCGACTGCGTGAGTCTCAGCTTTCTTTCAACTTTCATTTATTCTTTTATATTAACACATATGAGGCTGATTTACAGTTTTCTTTACTTTTATATCCAGTGATGTGTGTCGTCATTCTGCTGGGTGCACATATTCAGAAGAGCTCTACGGGAAACTATGGTGGGTAGCAACTATACAAAAGTAACTTTTTACATTTTTCCACATAATGCTTTCCACAGTTTCAGTGTTTAACTCCCAACCAGATTCAAGTTAGGCTGATAATAGCCATTTAATTGCATCTGTGTATGTCTCTGTAGAGTAATATAAAGTTAATGAAGTTTCAAATAGCCTGAATAGTAGGCTGACAATGTCAACTTGAAATTAAATCAAACGTTCCAGATTGTGATTTTTTTATTCTCCCGATTCAAAGCATAGTTTTGCAAGTCATTTTTTATATATCAAATGCTCTATTGTCTCTGTTTCTGTCCTCAGGCGCAGCTTTGCAAATGATTGCAGAGAGACTGCAGCTCTTTGAATACAAACCCTTCTCTTTTCTCTGCGAGGGTCCTGGCTCTCCTCTGAGAGGGTTTAGGAACAACAATGAGTTAATTAAGGATTGCTATACTATTGATTCATCAACACTGAACTGCACCATTAAATCAGCGTATGCACCGGACAGTGGGGTTTACTGGTGTGAGGATGAGAAAGGAGCAAAGAGCAACTCTGTCGACATCACGGTCACTGGTATGTTTATAGTAATTAAGATTTTTATTTTAAACTGCAATGCTCTTTTCCTTTAATTCAGATATACTGCAGATAGTTTTCAATCTTACATCTATATACAGTACTTGTAAAACATATTGATTCTGACCAAGTGTGTCATAAATATGCAGGAATTGCAATGAATGCAATAAATAACAGATAAGACTAAACGTTTGATCCTGATGTTGTTCAGCTGGCTCTGTGATCCTGGAGAGTCCTGTGCTTCCTGTGATGGAGGGAGAATCTGTGACTCTGAGCTGCAGAAACAAGACGACCACTTCCTCCATCCTGTCAGCTGACTTCTATAAAGATGGCCGCCTCATCAGGAGCAGCTCCACAGGAAACATCACCATCCAAAGGGTTTCTACATCTGACGAAGGACTCTACAAGTGCAGCATCCCTGATGGTGGAGAATCACCATTGAGCTGGCTGACTGTCAGAGGTGAGATATTGCATGAAAGCTAACATTTGGAGAATATATGTGAGTTTTTTATTATATATATTCACGTTGTGTTGTGTTTGCAGCTGTTCACAGAGAGACGTGTCCCTGCTCGGATCACTCCCTTTACGTCCTCCTCGTCTTAAGGACTGTGTTCACCGTAGTGATGGTGGCTCTGCTGCTGCTGCTGGTGGGACTGCTGCATTGTGGGAAACTCAGGGTCACACAGAAATAACTCATGTAAAAAGATTAGAGTTTGGTTATCAAGATAATGAACACCACGAGCCGAGGACATTATCACTTTCTTCAGCTTTGTATCTCTTCTTCTGCTCAGGTTGAGTGTGAGGTGTGTAACTTCTCTGTGTCACATGATGGTACGAGCAGCAGCTGTTAGACTTTCTCACACTCAAGACAACGTTAAAAACCACTGAGGTACTGACTGACGCATGCATTTATTTTTAAAGGCGAGCTGAGGGTATGTTGATCTGAGTTTTATTTTAGACTCCAGATACTTTCAGCTTCTCAGACACAACCCACAGAAAATATGTAGAAGAGGCTTTGAGGTGACTTTAGGAGCAACTTAATCTTTATGGTTTTATAGAGTAACTTAAGTGTAAATTGAGTCTAAACTGATATATATTTGGAGTTGTTGTGAGTGACGAACATGTTAATACCTGCTAGCATATTAGCACTGCCACTAAGCATGTTGGCATCCTAACTTTATCAGGCTAGCAGGAATGCAGACATGTGCTATTTAGGCAACAAACAATACAGACTTATTTTGTGTGTTTATTTAAACAGAAAACAAGTACATATATAAATGACAATTTATCAACAATCAATTTTTCCTGGGCAACTGATTTTGCAACATCATATAATATTCAAATATTACTCCAAAAACATTATATATTTTATCAAATGTTGTAAAGTGTATCTCACTGTATATGCCTATAGAAAAAAATATTTAGAAATTGATATTTCCAAAGAAAACTCTCCAAAATGTCCGAGATGTAAAATAAAAGAAGGAACATTTATGCATCTGTTTTGGGATTGTGATGTCTTGAAACATTTCTGGGATTCGATTCATGCTCTCACAAAAGCCGTTTTAGACGAAATTAGCCTAAATCCATGTTTTTTCCTGTTAAATGACATGCCAAACTTTAAACTGAACCCAAAACATTACAGAATACTAATCACAATAACATATTTTGCCAAGAAATGTATACTTTTATTCTGAACGTCCCCCAACATTTAAACTTTTCATTAATCAGATAACACATTTTTTACCTCTGGAGAAAATGACATTGGAAAAATATAATTGTTGACATATTTTTCAAGCTCTGTGGTTGCCATTGTTTTCTTACTTGGAAAACATATCTGAGATATGACCAGTGATGGAATGCATTCTGTGGCTATTTGTCCTGACGGCCGGAAATACTTGTTATGGTGTTGTCATTGTCTACATTGTCACTGTATTGTATAATTATTTGTATTGTATAATTATTTGTTTGTTTTACTTGTTTGGTTTTTATTTTATTTTTTATTTATTTATTTTTTGGTTCTATTTTTTCCTTTTCCTTTTTATGTTTATTTTCATGGCTCTGTTGTTTAAGTTATATTGATAAGCATTTTTTGGTTTTGCCTGTGCGGGTATGTGTGGGTGGAGGGAGGGAGGGAGGGAGGAGTGTAGTGAGTGTACTGTGATATTACAATATAAATGAAATGGCATCGATTACTGTACTGTACACTATAATGAAATAAAAAGACTTGTAAAAAAAAAAAAAGAAATTGATATTTCCCAAAGCAAATATCATCAAAACTGTACTTCAGCATCTGGACTTTTCTAAATAAAACACAATTTCAAAAGTTTATTTTATTTACGGAAAGTTGAATGATTTTTTGCTTCAATTAACAGTTGTTTTTCAGTCAAATATATAAAAATAAAGACGGATAAGCTAACTTTCTCCCATTACTCTTTCCTGTTGCTAATAAATCTGCTCAGACACTTCACACATTTTTATCATGAGTGACAAGTGCATCAAAAGTTGCAAATAAACTCCTGACATTTCTTCTCCAGGGTTGACAGTGTGAAGGAGTTTATTTGCAACCTTTGATGAAAGCAGGGTATGATCAACTGAAGGAAAACAATATCAGAGCGGAGCAAAAGAGGTCAGTTTGTATCTTTGGATAGTAGATTTTTAACTACGATGTGTTGGTCCTCTTTAGTGTCGCTGCAGAGGGAAAACTCCAGTTTGTCTCCAGGATTCCAGAACTGCAGATCCTCCCACACCAGGTCAGCAGGATTATTACCGAGATGTTTACGTGTTATCTGTAAAATAAAAAGGTCACAGACAAGAACAATCATTAAGTCATTAATCCGAATGATTGACCATCTGCTGTCATGAAAGGATCACATTGAATATCTGTGCAAAAGGACAAAACAAATCATTTATTTTCTTAGGTCTTTTTGGGCGAGCAGAGAAATTCTTCTGTTGTTCTTTACATCTGTGATCATGTCCATTCTGCAGTACTGCAATACTACCTGGTACAAATGTTTGTCAACAGCTTTCAAATCAAAACTGCTCCATCTGTTAAAAATCTGCTCAACGATTGTTGGTCCACCCTGTCAGAGACTTTCTGACTCAGCAGACCATAATAACCTGAGAGGCTGTCCAACAGCATCCTCTGGGACCCAAAGCATGCTCTGAGCAGAGAATATGAACTGCTACCATCTAATGGAGATCATTAAGTCAGACTGAAGCATCCTTTGTGCTCCAGTCAGTCCTCTCAGTGAACACAGAGCTGACTCCAGGTCAGATGCTGAAGGCTCTTTGAGCAGCTCTTCTCTCACTGATCCTGCTGTTATGTTAAATGTTCGTTGTTTGTTGTTCATGTACTGTGTCTTGATATTTGTCTGTTGATGTTCCACATGGAGCTGCTGTGATGCAAGGAGCATTTCAGACTTGATCTGACCATGAAAGTATTACCGTATCGTATCGTTACGTATAGTATTGCATCGTAATAAATAATTAAAGCTATACATGGTCTGCAGCAATATGTGACTTGCACTACTTTGATTTGTGTTATGTCTTAATGAGAGTGTTCTAGTATATTGCCTATCATGGGGTGTCATCATATGCCGTTGCCAGGGCGACCGAACACTTGCCATCAAACACAATGTTTATGTTACTGCTGTAACTCCTATAGACGGTGTCTGATCAGCCCGAGATTTCTCACGTTTGCCAACGGCCGAGTCCTAGAGACACCTACGGCAAACATCGTTGTGTGGACAAAAGCTAAACCTGCGTGGATCGTTGAAGACCCGCTTATCGCTAACATTTTTGTATTTTTCTTTTATAGAATTCAATGATGAAATAAAAAATAAAGGACAACATGTGAAACTCACAGTGACATCTCCTCCAGCGTTGAGTTTGAAAGAGTCCTCAAATATGTACGTGAAGGGTGTTGACTTGTTAATCTGCAGTTTTAACTCCCAACCTCCCAGCTGTTGGTCCTGCAGGAGGTACATAGGGAGGGTGAGAAACAGAAAAGAGAAGTTATTAATGTTATAATGTTGAAGTTAAATTCACTGTGTTTATAAATTACATTAAAACAAGACTACATGGATTATTGGGTAATCAACAGGTCATTCTCTTAGTTTGAACCGCTCATTGGGTTAGGGTTGAGTTACTGTTCTACATATTATACCTAAAGTTATTCACAAGATTACCGTTACCTCGTGGAACGTGTTTTTCAGACAGAAAGATTGGCGTGTGTTGACCTCAATGATAAATCCTGAATGTGAATCCTGAGAGTAACAGCTGGTCTGGTTTGGCTCCTTAGAGTGAGAAGTATCAGGTTCTACATCTTTCTTTGTGTGTTCCTATGAGACAAATAAACACACAGAAGATTCATTAAAGATGAACAGGTTCCCTCGAGTTGTAGATCTTCACCTCCATGGATATGTTTTCCTTTGATCAGCGTGCAAACTACACAGGGAAGATGGTGCAAGCTAGCAAACATGGAGGTAACCAGTGCTTGACCCACGGAGAAAGAAAATCGAATCTGCAAATACAATTTGAGCAAAGTAACGTATATTTTTGTACTTTTGACTTCAAGGCGGTGATTGGTACACTGAACTGAACACAACTTTACTTTGTTTAAAAGAAAGCTCCAAAGGGCAGCTTTCAAGTCTCATTTATTCAACACTTAAAGTCTTAAATGGGTCACAAGTTATTACGAATGAGCATTACCAACTAGGCATTTAACTACACATGAAATACAAGTATTACATGTTGTGTTGCACTAGAAATCTTAATACAGTTTATGCATCAGTGTTCATGTAGCTAGATGAACCTCCATGTTGTTGGTCTCCAGATCCTCCATGTTGTTTGACTCCATCAGGGTCTGCAGATCCTCCATCAAGGTCTGCAGGCTGGTCTCCATCTTCAGAATCTCCCCCTGCAGCCGCTGGACTTCAGCTTCCTTCACTTCACACTGAGAGGAAAGACAGGAAAGGTGACAAGTTTTTAATATTGATGCATAATTAAATATATATTTGATATTACTTTACTTGACTTGTTGACTTTAACACAGACAGAAAGTTAAACTGAAAACAAACAAGAAGCCGGCTAAAACTCTCCTAGTAGAATATCAAACAGAAACCTTTCTGATGTTGGTGTCTGTTGTCTCCTGTTGGGTCTCCAGCTCCTTCTCCAGTGTCTCCACTTCCTGCTTAGCGTTCTCCTTCTTCTTCTTCTTTTCTTTAGATTTAGGATACTGGATTACATCAAAACATTTGACTCATCATACTGTACAATGAGCAGTCTTGCAACACAATTATTCTTTGCAGAATGAAAAGTGAGAAACCTCAGTTCTTCATATAACAGACATTCTCATGAATGAATGTACATATTCAGATTCTGTGATGCTCTTCTTCTGAAGTCTAATTATCTCTGAATAATCTAACAGATTTTTAAATGAACATATTGCACTTGATTTGGCTGTTGCTGTTATCTTGTATATTAGTATCCCTTGTTTATTTTACATATAGATAGAAGATATTAAATCCATATATCTTTTTTTAAATTACTGAAGTCACTTACCAGCGAAGATGAAAGTTTCTTTCTTATTTCCTCTTGCTGGGAACAGGGGGAGCACACAAAGAGACACATGAGTACAACGATTTAACATTAAAGCAGTGATAAATATACAAACATAAATATAGAGTTAGATGGCTCGCTATGATACATGTGAGATGAAGTGAATGCAATAAAGTAAACGTGCTGATTGTCTGACCATGATCTTACAGAGCAAGGGAGCTGATCTTATACCATCAGTGTGTTGGTGTCCAGTCGGGGTCATGTTTTCAATAACAGTTTTTATTTTCAATAAACGTTTGGGTAACACTTTATATTAAGGTACACACATTAACCATCAACTAGTTGTTAATTAACAAGCATATTAGCAGTATATTGGCTCTTTATTAGTCATTATAAAACACTTATTAATGCCTTATTCTACATGACCGTATTCTACAAGTAATAAGCCCTTAGTTGAGAGTTTTTCCTCAATAACCCTCTAATTAGTGCTTATTTGTTGCAAGTAAGGAAGTTGTTGTACATGAGATTTGGTCTTAATATGCTCCGCTCAATATGGGTCTAATGAGGCAGTAGTACCACAAGAATAGTAATTCTCCCATAATAACACTTAACAAATATGATCTATTCTTATGCAACAAGACATGAAACTATAAGTGTTGATTGTGTCTAAATAACTCAAAATTAGGTTTTTATATCTAAGAATATGTTTTGGGG